CATCTTTTTAATATTTTACTGCCCAGAGACAACCTCCACCAGCCTTTTGATGATTATCTTTTCCAGACTTCTTCCTATGCCTAAACACATGCAGACTTATGTATAACTACATATAAAAACATATGACTACAATCATACTACATGTTATTTGTAATCTTATATGCATGCATGTATGTATATATATACATACATATACACTTAAAATTACTAGTATTCCATTAATAGTATACTTAAAAGTATTCCATTTTATGAATGCAAAAGAGCTTACTAACTTGAGGCTGTTTTGAGAAATATTTTGATTGCTTCCAGTATTTCACTATTATAATTAATATGCAAAGAATACCCTTGGCCATATATCTTTGTGTTTTTCTCAGATTATCTTTTCAGGAGAAGTCCTTAGGAATAATGAGCTGGATCAGGACGTGTGCACGCGTACGGTTTTTAAGTGATTTTCAGATTGCCCTCCGGGAGGGTTAGTGAATTCCTAGCCTTCCCAGCGGCGGGGAGGAGCACCCAGCAGCAGAAGGTGGTCAAGGTCATTCACACTGGTCAGTCCGAGAGGTTCGGGAGGTTACCAGCAAAGATTAGAACCCTTTCCTGTGATGATTGACCATTTGTTTCAGTTTCTTCTCTCTCATTTTTGTAAATTGTGTCCGTGCCCATATTTTTACAGAGCTTATTTTTATTTTAATAATTTGAAGAAGTTCTTTGTATCAACCCCCTTTTTTTTTTTTCTCCATATGTAGCAAATAGTTTCCTCAGGTTTTCGTTTATTTTCAACCTCTTTCAGGATTTTACTTTTACTATACAGAATCATTTGAGTTTTATATAGTCATGTTTATCAGTCTTTCCATGTAAATACTTAGGTTTCCTGAGTTTTCCATTAGAATTAGAAAGTCTGTCGCCATCTCAAGAGTATGGAATGCTGATCTGTACTGTCTTCAGTGTTTCATGTTTTTAATTTAAAAAATATTTTAGTCCTAGATGTCTCTAAAATTAATTTTGCTGAAAAATAATTAAAATTTTAATTTTTTCCTAAGTGCCAGTTGTCCACAAATCACTTATTCACTTTTCCTGTATTGATATAAAATGATCCTACAATTCAAACAAATGGAAACTTAATATCCGTTTAATTTCTGGACTTATTTTATTGGTTATATTACTTATTTCTGCACCGTGCCTTGCCATTGTTATAGTTTTATAATAATATATGTTAGGGACCAAGAGGGTGAGTCTCCCCTGCTGGCTTTGTTTTGTTTCTTTAAGTGACTTGGGCTTTTTTATGTGATTGCATTTAATTTAGAGAATAATTTATAGGTAAAAATGACATTTTAAAATACATCTGTCCAATAATAGAATACGTTTTTATTTATTCAAGTCTTCTTTTTAAAAAATATTATTTTTTCTTTCTGCTTACTAAATCTATATGGAGCACTGCAAAGGGTCTGAGGTTTTAACCTCTGCAAGCTAACAAGTTAACCTGCCACAATGTCATGGTGCTGGCAGAATACAATCAATTTTTAGGTCAGGGGCACAGCAGGTGCTGTAATCTTCATGTCCCCATCTGCTGCCCTTGTCTGAGCTCCACGGTGGGGGCCACACATGCAGTGGTTTGAGTCACAGCTGGGGAACTCTAAGCTTCGGAAACAGCAATGAGAGGAGAGGCCGAGCTTCCCTGAGCTAACTGTTGGAGAATGAGGGGAGTAAACGAGAGGGGAAGACAGAGCATTCCGGGCAAAGGGAACCACCCGGGCAAAGGCCCTATGTTGAGAGTCTATAAAGATCTGGGAAAAAAAAAACCCCGACATCATGGCGACCCCATTATCTTCTGGCTAATGATGCTGAAGAGAATTAGCCTGTTTATTTTTCCCATTGTAAATGATCTATTTGTTCTGCCTAAATTCTTATAGATTTTATCTTGTTGCTTTGCAGTATGTTATTTTATTAGGATTTATTGCTATTCATATTTAAACAAATTTTCTTAACACACAGAGAGCCTCTTCATTCTGGAAGATGGTTCCTTAATACATCTTTGAGTATTTCCCTTTCCTATTGTTTTGACCTTTTCTTTAAACATTTGATAATTTTTCCATGATTTTCAGAATTGTGTCCTCTATTTTTCATAATCGTGTTCTCCCTAAACATGTCTCATCTGCCTTGTTTCCACTGTATCCCGAATCCGAGAATAAGGGCACTTCCTGATTTTCAGGATTTGTCTTTGCTACTTTCACTGTTCGTTGCTCATGTCATCCTTTTGGAAAGGGAGGTTTAGGGAGACCCTGAACTTCTGCAACCATCTTTTCCAAAGTCCATTATTGAAACACCACTTTGTAAGTGCTTTTCCCCAACTTTAAAATTATTCCAAAATGACACTGAAAGAATTCCCATGGTTAAAATAACCTCTTCAGTTTTTAAGTCTTCTGTCTCGTTACTTAGAAGTGTGACAAGGAACTGGAACGTAGTGTCTTCCTGATTAATGGTGGAGCAAGGCGACCATCCAGGTGTTGTGAGTTAGGAGAGACTATGGGAAGACTTCCTACCTCCAAGTACTCCCCTATTGCTGAGATACCTCATATGCTACCAGTAGTGGTTCGTTGTTTCTCCATTGTATAAAATTGGTTGAGCAGATTTAATTATCTGGAAAGGTCCTTTGTACTCCTAAGATGGATGTCTTCTACAGAAGCAAATGCAAAGTAGCCCAAGTCCTGGTATTTCCTCCCAGTAGTGAGGGGAAAGTAGGACAACAGAAAAACCCAGTTTAAAAGATGCCATTTTCCCAAGGAAATATTTTTCAGACATATTGAGAAATTTGGGGATAGTTAAGTGTCTTTTTGAATGATAAAAAACGTATAGGATAATAAGCGAATTCATCTGTTACCCTTCCTTTACTGTTCAAAACCTATTCAACAAGAAGAGTTTTGCAAGGGATGAATCTCAGGACAGTGTCCCAGCTCACCAGTGAGAGAAGGCAGCAATGAGGCTTCAAGAGGACCTGAGACTCAGTGCTTCTCTCATCGTGGGTTTGTTGGCTTTTGATCTCCATGTTAGTTGATACATTGCTGACCTCCTTACTAGAGGTAAAGTAGAACCATAGAGAAACATGCCCTAGGCTAGGAAAAAATCTGTTTCCAAAGTCTATACACAATGATGGAAAAACTGATCATGATAGTTCAAAGTGGGACTCAGACCAAATTTGATGCAGCAAAAATCTTATTGGGTAAATGTTGGTGGTTCCTCAATGTTCTTGGATGCATCTTTTTTTGAAAATAAATATTTTGGATGTTTGTTAGTATTGTGGAGTACAGACATGAAGTCTAGAAATGTAATAATGTTGGTGGGTTTATCTTCATTGACATAATCCCTTGACTCTAAAATGTCTTTCATTGTATCATATGTCACTATTCCATGTACCACCAAGGAAGAAAAAAGGCTCCATGCAGGATTCTGATGTGCATACACTGTACCCTAATTTCGGAGATGTTCATGTGTGGAAAGCACACATCTTAGAAACAATGAGATATGGTATTTCTCCTACACTGACGAAAGCAGGGAAAATTGATATTCTCAACTGCATGTTCATCCATCTAAACTATTTAACAATGTAATTAATCGATAAATTTGTGCTTTAAAGCTATGTTTACTAGGGGTGATATTTTCAAGAACAATCAAAGTTGTTGATAGAATATGGTTAGTGTTCAGAGAACTAATGAAGTGAACTTACATGCAGAAAGAATGCCCAAAATTCCTCGTGTCGAGTTCTTAAGACTTTCTACTATTTGATCTTTTCCTCCTTGAGCAAAGCAGCCGGGTTGCTGCAGCACTGCCCAGACAGGTAGCACCCTGGGTAGGAGGGACTGCTTCTTCCATCTTTCCCAACTCTTCCTGCTGCCTTTTGAACAAGAGCTTGTCATTTCCACTGTTAGGTACCACTCATTCTCAGAAATTGACTTTATTACCTAACAGGACCCCTGAGTTAAAGTCAAAAGCTCTGTATCATTTGTCACATCCCTGAGCAGTCCAGGAAATCTGACCCCTGAGCTCCTGGTACCAGCTATGCTCTCTGGGTCGGGGACGATCAACTAGGTCTTGCTGAAATATTTGGCCAACTCTACTTGAGAAGCTTATTATTAGTATCTTTAATGCTGAGAATATTATAGTATATGAGGTATCCACCTGGAGGAAAGGATTTGAACATGGTAAACATTTCCCCAGAGTCCTACTCTCTTTGCCACTTCCTTCTACATTTTCACCAAATACATTTTTACGCAATAGAGACCATGTTTATGTATAATCTGTGTGATGCTTTGTCACTCGACCTCATGTTAATAAGATGGGTTTTAAAGGCTTTTAACTAGTTGATTGTCTTATTCCGTAGATAAATCAACTACTTCCCTCTTGCTTGTTATTTGGGCTATATCCATTTTATGTTTGCAGTTCTAAATCATGTTCAAATAAACATTCCTATGTGTAAATCTCTCCCCACAATATGACCGAGGGACACAGTTGACTCTAATACAATTGATTTATACTGTTAAATTTCATGGAAAAAAGTTCATAAGAATTTGTAACCAAACCAAAGGAATAGAAGTAAGTATGAGAGAATGGTTGTGTTTATTTAATACTATTATTGTATTGGTTCAAAGTTGAACTAACTGAGGAAACTGAGACATAGATAAAGTTGGCGTGTTGCAGGTGACACTATCATTGGTGTTTGGAGCTGGGAATCTATTGTCCTCTCCACCAGCCAGTATCTTTCCTACTTCACTGAAGTCCTGTGGAAATTTGCTGCCCTTGAAATTACCAGGAGCTCAGCTTGGCAGCACCATGAAAGGTCCTGCTGGTGCCTGACCCTCTCCTATGTGGTCTTCCCCTGCACTAAGGGGTGGTACAAACCAGAATCGCCAAACCAGACCCATGTTTCCCTTGCACACCAGACAAACACTTTTGTTTTTGTTTTGCTTTGTGTCTGGACTAATTCTTAGCGCCTCTTCTGCCGGCAGACGATCTGTCACTTCCTTCTGTAAGACTGGCACCAGCAGAAATGCAGTCTCAGAGGATCCCTGGGAGAAAGCGAGGCCGACCCCCACTTCACTCAACGCCTGTGAAGATGGCAGTTCATAACCTTTATTCTGCTTCAGCTGGTTCTTTACCAGCGGTGAAGATCCCAAAGAAAAGAGGGCGGAAACCCGGGTACAAGGTACGGCTCCATGATCTTTCTTCGGTGTTATTGGGCTGGGGCATAGGCGCTTGGGCAGAACTCCAACCGCTGAACGTGAGGAAAGACTGGGAGCTGGGCGGACACGGGACCTGTAAGATTCTGTCGCTGGAGCTCGTGCCCGATGTGGCCTCATTGTTACCGCGTGGCACATGATGCATGCTGTTGCCGTCTCCTGCATTTTCACAAGCAGAGAAAGTGAATTACACCAGGTGAGGAGAGTTGTAAGGTGATCAGATTTTAGGGTCAGAGCTACACACACATTACTCAGCCTCGCATCTAAATTAGTGTTTCAGACACTGAGCTTCCCCCTGACTGTGCCTTTCGGGGCGGCTCTCAAAACCGCTTTCCGGAACTCATTCGTCATTCATTTTAGTAGAAGCAGATGATGTTCCCGAGACATTTAAATTAATAACACGAGCAGGCTGGTGTCAAAGGACACAGAAGAGTTTTCCCAGATAGAGCCTCAACAAGGAAGGGGACTCATCCTGAAAACACTGGGCATTAATTCATAGTTTCCTGCTTATTAAAAGGTGCTGACGTCAAGCCTGGCTCCAAGGAGGCATATCAGGCAAAATTAAAATCCCATGACCCTTTTAAGAATGAATGATTTGGAGAGGCTGGGGGTGGAGAATAGATTCTCCAGTGTAACTGCAGTCACATGAAGCAGCCCAGCCCTCAGGACTAGCTTCTCCTCTGAGATGTTTTTGAAGAGGCTCCTGGAGAGGAAAGACTGAGTTTTTCTCCACAAGCCTTTTAGGCATTAGAAAATGAGCCACAGAAGTTTTCCTTCATTTACTTGTCTTGAAATAAAGAGCTTATGTTTCCATTTTGAGATCCGAATGCTCCGACCAAAATGCAAATTGGCAATTAACTCCCATAGATTTAGGGAACGTATGGAAATTATTTCAGGTCAGCAGAACGACAAGGCTTATGAATTCAGCCTGTGTCCTTTGGTTCTCTGCAGTTCTTCCAGCTGTGGGAAAAGAAAAACAGTAGGTGGGGGGAAGTGACTCAAAGTTCTTTGGGGGTCATGGGTTTTACTGAAAGGTTTTGGGTGAAGTCTTTTGTCACTGGTGATTATTCTAACAGAGAGGGCCTCATTTTCCTCACGGGCACAGACGCTTTGGAATTGTGTCTCTGAAGCTGGCACAGGGCGGGTCTCTCTGCTCACCTACCTGTGCAGTTGCCAGGGTCTGGGAATTGTATCTGGAAGGCAGGAGCTGGGCAGCCTCTCTGTTTGTAGAGCCAGGGAGCAAATCCAGGAGCTAAAGAAACACACTGCAAACTTTTTTCTTCTGTTTGGCCTTTCTCCTACTCCCCTGGGAGCCATGACCCAAGAATGAAAATTACTGACAGACACAGCATTTCTGGGGCCAAGAAAAATGAAAATTCACTCCATGGAATGAATTCAACTTTGCAGTTTTCCTGCCTCCTACAAAGGGCAGTTTTCAGTGCTCCTAACACTCAGAGACGCTGCAGGGCAGGAAGGAAGCTTTGGGGATGCTTAGCAGACGTGCAGGCCCTGCACAGAGCAGGCAGGGAGTGCCACAGCTCTTCTCTGAGTCCATCACCTGTGTATTTGGGGGAATTATTCCAAGCCTGCAGCTCCCAGACAGCTCCCCAAGCATTTGAGAAGAATGGCTCCAACCCAGGTGCCAGTCTGCAAGTTCCTACCCACCTGTGACATAAGAAAAATGACAACCACTTAACCATCTTCATAAAGCTAAACGAAGGATTATTCTTTTTCGAACATAGTTCCTCTATTTTGTGAAATTCATTATATCTTAAAAGTTCATATATTGTCAATTTGCAATAAAAAGTCCTATTTGGCACAATAAAATGAAAACTTAACTCCCAGTAGATTTTAAATAACCCTCACCCTTAACAAAAGGGGTTGAATTGTGGAGAAGCCAGCAAGGACACTGTACGGTTTCCTTCCATTTACCAAATGACCGCTCATTTGGCAATTTCAACACTCTGGGGTATAGCTGGGGAGCCAGACGTTGTTAAAAATGCTGAGCAAGCAAAATAAGATTTACTTGGTCTACTCTTAAAGGTCTCATATTAAAAAAAAATGCTGTTGAGCCCTTCCTCAAAGTTTGGTTACCTGTACTATAAATACACTTCTTACAAACTCAATTATAGACATTTATTAACAGCTGTAGGTTTGAAGGGGAAAACATTTTGGTGGAGAAGACTATGTGCTCACCTGGCCACTGAAGGGATAATAATAATTATTGCATAATTCTATGGCAATATATTAATAATATAGAACAATAAAATATGTAATATGAGTATTATAAAATAATAAAAACAAAATTTTCATAATAATAACATTATGATATATTTATACTAACGATATTATTATAATAAAATAAGTGTTTGAGTCTTTGGCAGTCTCATCCCTGGGAGAGTCCAAGAACCTCTGGTCGTGCCAACCACCCCTCATCATGGGTCTAGGCTGGTCGATATTTGTCACTCCTTGCCTGGTGCTGCCCCAAGCTGCTCTGTCAATCACTGTGCTCCTGCACGTGTGGAGACTCTCTGTTCCCTTAAGTAGGGAACAAGCTTCTCCTTTAAGACTGCTAACCCAGCTGGCGACATTTAACCCTTCTCTGGGCCTTGAGAGTAACATGACTGAATTATGGGCAGAAAAGGGAAAGTTCAACTGGCAGCCAGATGGCAGTGCTCTGTAGTTCATAGGTCATGCCTCCTCCCAAGGCCCATCTGGCATCTCTCTCTTGGCCCCAGACCACAGCCACATTGTGGCACATGCTCACTGCTGTGACAGTGTCATCTGATGGCCTTGCCGCCATTTCTCCTGCAAGTCAAAGGAAGCAAACACCTCTTATCATTGCATTTTTTTCTGCAGAGCTGTACTCTGACTGCCATGGAAAGAGTCTTCTTTATTATCAAATAGAATCTTTCCACGTTGTTTGCAGCATCTGCTACTGATTTAGGTTCTTCATTCAGAGACTTTCCAAGGTCAATAGGTAGATTCCACGACAGCAAATAAGACCATGGAAGTCGTTTTTATTTTTTAAATGATTTTATTTATTTTTAGAGAGAGGAAAAGGGAGGGAGAAAGAAAGGGAAAGAAACATTGATTGTATCAGTTGCTTTCCACACAGCCCTAGCTGAGGAACTGGCCCAGAATCAAACTGGGGACCTTTTGGTTCACAGGCTGGTGCTCAATCCACTGAGCCACACCAGCCAGGACTACTGAAGTCTTTTTAAAGAGGTAAAGAGAGAGCGTCTACACCAAGGAGAAACTAGCTTCCATTTGTAGACACAGATGACTCAATGTCTCCATGTAGTAGGATTTCCAGTTTCTGTGTCTTTATAATTAGAACTCTGATTTAAGCAAAAATTAAAAGTACTGGACTTTTGAAATGGCCATTTGCCCCCAATACATAATAATAATTAATACTAATACCAACAATGTGTAACATTTATTGAACACCACCTCTATGTCTGGGGCTCTAGGCGAATGTGACCCGTGATAGTTTGATTATGAGGGGAGTCGGAAAATTGCAGGAATTAGGCATGAATCAACCAAGCCCGAAGCCTCGAGGCCATGTACCGTGGGGCCAGCAGCCCTCTACACGTCCTCATCTCTTCGTATTATGTTCAGAAGAGTAATTATGCTTCCTAATTCCAAAGAGAGTAAATTATATTGTCTGTGTATTGAGTTAAGAAAAGTATAACATGTTCTAGAAAGAATTCCATTTCTGAAATGTTAAAATCAAATGGTTAAAATGTTCTAAAATGTTGGTAATATTCAGGATTCAAATTCAGCTGCTATCGTGGTGGCTTAAAGAACATAGAAGTTAATAATATCTCTCTCATATTAAAGGCCGGAAGACCATCTGGTGCTGTTCAAAGCTTGATGGTGATGGGGACCCAGGCTCTTTCTATATTGTTACTCTGCTATTTAACACAAAGTCTCTACCTCATGCTCTAAAACAGTTTCTCTAGTTCCCACTACCCCACTGGTCCAGCCAGCAGAATGGGGACAGAGCTAGTAAAGGCACGTCTTTCCCCTTTAAGGGCCCAGCCCTCGAAGTTGCACATACCCCTACACTTGCATCCCACTGGCCCACTCAGTCACTTGACCACACCTACGTCTAAGGGAGATGGGAGAATGTAGGGCTGAAGACCAGGTGATGAGCTAAAATTCAGGGGTTCTATTATTAGCACTACAGGCATCATGGGTATTTGGGAGTAACCAGCAGCCTTGGCTAAGTACTCAAAGGACAGTCTGTGTTTACTGGAAATTTTAACTTTAAAGAAAGTAATTGTATAATGAACATGGGTAAACACAACATTTTGTTTTGTTCCCCTTTCCTTATTGTCATCTCCCCTCCCCCCACCCAAAGTATGTGCTCTTGGCATTGTGTAATGATAAGTCAGGTTCACAAAAATCTCAATTAAGAGAGTGTTCAAACTTAAGATAAAAGGGTTTTGTTTCTTTCAATGCTTATTTAAAGCTTCTTTCTAAAATGCATTTTCATTAGAAATGTTGAATTGGCTTTAATGCTTCTTTGATTACCCAGATCTTATGTTGCCTTAGAATCATATATAGGAACACTACATGTAGCTTCCTAGTAGGCCAGGGGAGAATGGATATTTAATAACTTCCTGTGTCTATTTTTAAGGCCCCCCTCTTCCTGAGGGCAGGTGCGGAGTGCCGCCTGTGGTCCACGGTGGACATGATCACACAGGCACAAGGCAGGAGCCATTCCCTCTGGCTGAATGGTATGCAGCTCTGAGGGCAAGCACTGTCTCTCCTTCGGACTTCTGTTGCCCCGCAACCCCCAGTCCCTACCCCAGGGCTGCAGCAGGGTCAGGGTCATGGCCCAGGCTCAGCAGTAGGTCGGGGCAGTGGTGTGCCGGTAAATGTCTCCAGCATTCTGAGTAGAGCTCCCAGGTGAATGCTAGTTGATGTTTTGACTGACATTAAGGAATAAGACAAATGT